ATGTTTTCTAACCGCAAAAAGAGAAAACAAAAACTAAAAGATACACCAAAAAAAAAAAAGTGTGTAGACAATTTCCCTCTCATCGTAACCCCCATTTATCTCAAAGCTGGAGGTTGTCGAAGTGCAAGACATTATTCAAAACTGAGGAAAAAATTACATCTGAGACGTTTGCGTGATGAGTATCCGGAATATTCTTGACGACAGTGAGGGAAGGGCAGACGCCTGAGTTCACTTCACCTTTGGCCTGACAAAAAAAAAAAAAATCCCACAAACATGCATTTGTATGGTTGTCGTAAAGCTTTACCTTGACAAATCAACAACAGTATTAACAAACGGAATAATGAGCAGGAAAAATCCAGGCGATTGCAAGAGCAAAGCATCTTCGCATTGGAATTATTGTACATCCTAAAGAAGAGCACTTGGCAGGATAAAGAATAAGACCATAAAATCATTCTGCGACCACACAGACAAACACACACTCACACACAATCATATCCCTCTCCCCCTGTTCGGTTTTATCACACCAGACACAAATAGGCCCAAAACACTCCATCACCCAAGAAATGGATGCAGAAACAAATAAAAATATAAAATTGGTAATAAATAAATTAAAAAAACATTACCGCCTCCCATTGCAACAGTTTTACTCACAAAAATTAGTCAATGCACAACTGCAAATCAAGTTTCTGTCCCCATAGCTTCCATCGATGCGGCCAACCGAAGGCCAAAACTTTTCGGTGTGTGAATGGCTCGAAGGGAATGCAGCAGTTTTCCGGGTGTAATGGCCTGTCCCAATCATCTGATGTGACACACTTTGCCGTGTGCGGGGCATTCTTGAGAACGTTGTTCGTTGTGCTCTCTTCACCCTCCTCTGCGGATGCAATTTCGGTACGAATGGAAATCAGTGCATCGGCCAAACGATCCAACTCCCGCTTTGACTCTGACTCTGTGGGTTCAATCATGAGTGTTCCCGCAACAGGAAATGCCAGGGTAGGTGAGTGAAGGCCATAATCCATAAGTCGTTTCGCCACATCTTCTGCTTCAATTTGTGCTGTTTTTTTAAATGGTCTTAAATCTATGATAAACTCGTGAGCGCAGAAATCGTTTTCCCCTGGAAAGAGAACTGGGTAGTGGCCGTCAAGACGCTTCTTTAAATAGTTGGCATTTAAAATCGCATACTCCGTGCATGTCTTAAGACCCCGTGAACCAAGCATCCACAGTAATAAATAAGAAACTCGAAGAATAGACGCCGATCCGTATGCTGCTTGAGAGACTTGACCAAAAGGCTGGGAACCACCAACATTTTGAATAAAAACAGAATCTGGCAAGAATGAAACCAGGTGCTGACGAACAGCAATGGGACCCATGCCTGGCCCACCACCACCATGAGGAATTGAAAACGTTTTGTGGAGATTAATCTGGCACACATCGCCCCCAATACATCCAGGTGCTGTGCAACCCACCATGGCATTCATGTTTGCACCATCAATATAACGTTGCCCTCCATGGCAGTGCACCATCGAAGTAATGGCCAAGATTTACTTGTCAAACAAACCATACGTACTCGGATACGTTATCATAATGCACGAGAGATTCTTTTGTATGCTTTTGGCAAGAATTTTCCAAATCCTTCATGTCAATCCTTCCATCCGCCAAACAATTTATCTTTACAATCACCATCCCTGCCAAGAGAGCCGAAGCAAAATTTGTGCCATGAGCACTTTCCGGAATCAAGCAAACATTGCGATGGCTCTCCTTTTTTGAATTATGATAAGAGCAGACCACACGAAGACCAGCATATTCACCCGGAGCACCACTATTTGGCTGAAGCGATACGGCATCTAAAGCGGTAATATCTCTTATTTTCTGCTCCAGATCCAAACACAACGCAACATGTCCCCGCGTTTGCTCCGTCGGTGCAAGAGGGTGAAGGTTGGTAAATTCTGACCACGACAAGGACAACATGGCGGCAGCTGGATTAAGTTTCATGGTACAAGAACCCAAGGGCACACAAGCATGCGTGAGACCATAATCTTTTCTACGAAGACGGTGAATGTACCGCATAAGCTCACTCTCACTTTTGTACTTTTGGAAGATTGAATGCCCAAGACAGACAGATTTTCGTAACATTTGCAAAGGCATTGCTCTCTTTTGTTCTGCGAGTTTTGAAAGGACACCTATCACAGGAAGTTTTGGCCCTGCTGCCTCCAAGAGAGACACTACATGGCACTCGGTAGTGGCCTCATCCACCGATATAGAGACGGTGCCATGACTATAATCAACAAAAATATTAATGCCTTTTTCCACGCAGCATGTCACGTAGTCTTCAGGCGTTATGCCTTTTAAATTTACGGTGATGGTATCAAAAAATGCAGCATTGACCACTGTATGCCCTACAGACTCTAAACCAACAGAAAGTATTTTGGCTTTACTGTGCATTTCGCTCGCAATTTCCTTCAAGCCCTCGGAGCCGTGATAAATGGCATAAAATGCCGCAACATTTGCTAGGAGAGCTTGTGAAGCACAAATATTGGGTGTGGCGCGTTCCCTCTTAATACTTTGCTCCCGCGTCTGAAGCGCCATGCGTATGGCCGGACAGCCCGTCGAGTCTTTAATTATACCAATGACGCGACCCGGAATGAATCGCTTAAGTTCCTCCTTGACAGCAAAAAATGCGGCGTGAGGCCCCCAAACCCTAGTGGGGCACCAAAACGTTGGGCAGATCCCAAAACAACATCGGCTCCCATTTCTCCCGGAGGTTTGAGAAGAACAGAAGCCATCAAATCCGTCCCACAACAACTGACGACACCATGTTGTTTTGCCTTCTCAAACAGTGTCGTAAAATCATGAAGCATCCCCATGGCATCTGGAGTTTGTACCAAAACTCCACAAAGTGAGGAATCGCTCCAATCAATCAAATTTGGATCACCAACAACGACCTTTATTTTAAGGGGCTCAGCCCTTGTTTTTACCATCTCTACGCAAGGTGGGAAGACATCCCTCGATACAAAAAAAAAGGTCATACGCTCCTTTCGACCATGATGAAAGGCAAGGCACATTGCCTCAGCACATGCAGTAGCTTGATCAAGAAGAGGTGCATTTGCCAAATCCATAGCTGTCAAGTCTATAATCATGGACTGAAAATTCAACAGGGACTTTAGACGGCCTTGAGATATTTCAGCCTGGAAAGGAGTGTATGGGGTGTGCCGCGCAGGATTCTCGATAACGTTACGAAGTATTACAGTTGGTGTGCCCTGGCTCATCGTATCCTTGCCCAATCATGCTCTTTAATACCTTATTCCGTGAACCCAGTGAATGGAGAAACGAAAGGGCATCCTGCTCGCTCATCGCCGGAGCCTCTTTTAAAGGACTTCGCAAAATATTCTCTGGGATCGCAGCAGTCATGAGGTCCGACAGACTTTCTTTGCCAATTATTCGAAGCATAGAAATTGATTCTGCCGCCGATGGTCCAATATGGCGATTGACGTAACTGTTTGTAGCAGTCCGTCGTACAAACGCCAGTGGCAACGTGGAGAAATGATGAAATCAACGATACATTATTATGTTGGATATGTGCTCGTCACCCTCCTTCTCTCTCTCTCTCGCACACGCGTTAGTTTTCTTTCAATTTGGACAAAAAATTTGGCTTCACAGTTAAAAATCCACAAGAACAAATACAAAATATAATTTAAAAATAGAAATAAATTTAAACAATAATCAAAATAATAATAATAACCCATTAAAACAACAACAACAACCAAAAAGGATTGTTAAGGAAAATAAGCACGCATTTATACGAGCAATTCCAATTTTCATCCCCGCACACCACATATAGCCCCCGCGTCCCTTTATCCACGGACCTTCACGTTGGGTATTCACTAAAGTAGGCGTGGCGAAGGGCGGCAGCCGCAGTCAAACGCTTTTGAGGTTCCAGGCAAAGTAACCTTCGCAACAAATCCAATGCACATTCAGAGGCATCCGGGAAAAATTCACGGAGAGGAAGAGGACGCTTCGGCTCAAAGTGCACCTTTCCCCAATCGGGAAGCAGCACCGCCGATGGCCACGATGTGGGCGTCGGTGTCCCTAATACATCAAATATTCGTGACAACTGCCAAATATCTCCATCGCCCGCAAAAAAAGCACCACTGTACCCTCGTAGAAGTTCCGCAAATACGCACTCTGATGACCACACATCAATCTCGGGTCCGTAGTGTCGCTGGCCCAGAAGTAACTCGGGAGCTCGGTACCACCTCGAAACGACTTCGTGAGTCATGGATGCCTCCGTATCCCATACACGACTGAGTCCAAAGTCGCCGAGGCGTAGTTCCCCCTCCGCAGTCAAGAAACAATTTGAAGGTTTCACATCTCGATGAAGAACACCTTCGCTGTGTATGTACGCTAACGCCAAAAGAAGCATTTTAAACAAAGACTTTGCCTCTAACGCGGGCAGAGGATTGCTGGCAGTTCTCCCTGAGAGGACTGTTGCCAAGTCAGTCTTGCAACGCTCCATCACTAACGCCAAGGAGCAGCCACACGGAACTACCTCATATTTCCGAATAACAAAAGGATGCACCAATCGCATTGCAACAAGTAGTTCCCTCGCTGTGGGAGGCGGAATACCCTCATCGAGACGTGGAGTTGTGACGAATTTGATTGCGGCTGGCATTCCAGATTCCTTAACAACTGCAGCACAAACGACGCCAAAGCGGCCCTCACCAATTGGGGATCCAATAATAAAACGATCCATGTCAAGCGACCACCTCTCTCTTCTTTTTTTCTCTTCTTCATCCCTCTCTTCCATTCTACAACATCGTGGAAATATAAATGGAACACAAAAAATTGACTCCGGTGATGCCAAAATCCCTCCGCACCCAAAGATCATTCTCAATGCCCCTCCCTAATGAGCACATGCATAGAAACTGAAAGAACTCCAGTTTATCTCAAAAGAATCCATTTTTTGTTGTGGTGGTAGTTATTGTTTTCTCCTCGTCAGAATCTAATTATTTCAAAAACTTTCTCGTATTTAAGACCTCTGACTCCCTATTCACAACAGGGGCAGTCGCACTAGAGTACATCTTTGCTCGAGCGAACAAACTCACTCTTTCAGTCCTGGGTTTCTCATGGCACACTTTCACCTCAACAGGGAGAAGAGGAGGAGGAAGAGAAGAAGACTGCTGCTCTTCCGTGGAATACTTCGGTGTGGCTGTGGCCACATCACCCTCATTTTTGGCTTGCAGTTGTGCCGCACGATCCTCAACCAAAAAAAAAAGGAGACTGATCCATAGTCGTGTTTTCAGGGGCAATAAGATCATCTGCACAGACAAGAAATTCCTCAGCGCCTGTGCTCAATGCACACTCCCGAGAATCATGCGCACAACAACCGCCTGTATGCTCCCTCACTACCAATGATTGATTGAGAGAGTTCTTTTTCCGCAAGAGCTCATCACGTAGTTTATTAACGGTTGACGCGCCACCCCTCTTGGCTGCTACTCGTAAAGGAATGGAGTGAGTTACCCTCCGAACTGTCGCATTGGGGATGCTGCTGTCCGTCTTTAGACACTGATTCGTCCGGTACGTTTTTATCTCCGTAAAAGACACGCGTGAACGGCCCAAACCTCCCTCCTGCGTGCGCCGCCAAAATGCATCATACCGTTGCCTCTTGCTTCTCAGAGATATGAAGGCGGCGCATCTTCGCCTTCACGATCGCTGATGCTCTGCTCACTTTCCCCCGAGTCATCCGGAGATAAAATCCGTCCACTTGTTGTTGCATTTTGTGAAAATGCGTTTGTTATACCTGCGGCACCCGCGCTCTCCTCGCCACCAAGAGGAACGCTGCCGCCAGATTCCTTCCTCGCCCTATTAAAACTCCTTCAGAAAAGCGGAAACGTCCATTTTCTTCAAACGTAAAAGGAAAAAAAAGAAACAAGAAATGAACATCTGCTTAGATGAGGTCGTTGACGTCTTATCCTCAGAAATGTGAGAGGAGGAAAACACAATAAAATGGGAGAAGACAATTTGATCACACATCGCTCTGCATCAACGCGCTCCAAAGAAAAATTATCCAGCACTCATACACACGCAACAAAAGCCATCAGACAAATAAATCGACAATAGCCAAACTCGTCGTAAAGTAGCAAAGCTGCAGCCTTAATTTAGTGCCCCTTTTAGCCGCCGGACTCCCCTGCACCGCGTGAAGCGCAATGAAGGAGGCGGGTGGGACGACAGAAAGAAACTGCAGCCGCCACCTTCCCGCGCAGCACCATCAAAATTTGCCCCCACAACTCGCACATTCGTTCCAAAAAGTTTCTAAAAAAAAAAACAACTAAAAACGCTGCAAATCAATAAATATGAGATGTTTTGAACACTGCGGATTGCAAGGCCGAGCACTCACGTATTCCACAGGAGGGCGGACTGGCATTTCAATTGGAAGGACAGGAATTCATAAGTTTTTCCTCCTCCTTTTGTTTCTCAGTGAGTGCGAGAACGCAGACGAGAGAAAACTCACAGTTTTTCAACGAAAGAAATTCTTTTAAAACCAAAAAAAAAAAAAAAAAAAAAACGGCTGCCAAATGAGGGTCATTTTTTTCTTGTCGATTTCGTGAGCGTTTATTTATTTATTTATTTATATTTTTTTTTCTGCAAATTGTGCCAGAGACAAAAGAAAAAAAAAACACCAACAAATAACACACACGGAAATTATAAAAACAAAAACACGTGAAAGTGAAAATAAAAAGGCGACAACTAACATATCATGTCGTCCTTATTTTCACTGCAGAGTTCGCTACGGAAAAAAAAACCCTCAATAGGATCATCATCGTGCGCATGTTGCAGCCCGGAAACAGACAGAGTCGAGAGAACCAAGTGTTTACAATGAGATGCCACATCACTCGCATTAGCCTCATTCTCTATAACAATGGATTCACTTGAGAACCTCAGTTTTTGCAGCAAAATCTCTCTCGCAGCCGTTCTAATCGACTTGAAAGATCCACTGTCCAACCTGAAGTGCACATCCACCAAACGCTTAGCGAGCATCAACACGGTTTCCCCATCACTCACCGTAACTAAAATCACCTGACACCTCGTGGCTGATACGTAAATAAAAACATGAATTACGTCAGAGCCCTCTGAATACTGAAGTTTGTCTTGCGGTGCAGCAAGAAAGGGGAGCCTACCGGTGTGTTGGCCATCATCCATAGAGGAGTATATACACCTGCAACAGCAGCAGAAACACCGTCGTCGTCATCATCCAAATCAGTATCGTCAGCATTCTCCTCGTCGGGAAGTGTACCTGTGGTATTTCGATCTTCTCCTCTTCGTGGCGTCCAAGAGACAACAGTTGTTGCCTGGGCGGATTCAGTAGTCAAACGATCGGACTCGCAATTACAAGCATTCACACTGTTCAACTCTTTATGGTGGCTCTGAACACTAGCACAGGACGGATTTGTAGCTTGCGGTGCCTTTCAAAGAAATTCAAAACATTTGCGGCACACCCGTCGTGGTTTATTTACATGAAGCTTTTGTAATTTAACAAAAAAGCTCGAGCATGACGCACAGAAAATACCGCCACAGTACCGACAATGATGACGCCTGCACCCAAAATTAAATTTGACCTCACATATTTCGCACTTCTGTATTGAGCTATCAGACGTCCATTCGCCTAATACTGATAGCCTGATCGTCATATGCCATACTTTATTTCTACTGCATTTATTAACAGACATAAAAAAGAATATGTGCATACAAATACATATAATAATATCACACGTGAGGGACATCCGTAACAGTAATGATAAGGCCAACCATATAAAGGAAGCTAAGCCGCAGACACACACTATACATATATAGGGAGATAGAGAGACAAAGAAAAAACAAGGGAAAACATTGTTGTTGCTTTTTGGTGTTGTTTCGTTCCATAAAAATTGCCTCTACCGTCATGTGCAGCACCTTCAATCACGACCCCAGTGAGTCCTCACCATCACTCTTTTTTACCACGGAAGACAATGGCAACCAAGAAATATCCGCCTCAGACGGTGAAGAAGAGTCCCCGTCGTCACTTCCGCTCATGGAGTCTTCAGGCAGGCTGCCATTTGCAAAGGAGTTGTGGATCATCGTTCTAAGAGTGCCGCACGCAACGGGCCCGAGACGGTGAAGAAATTCATTCAACATGTTGTCGTGGCCTGGGGCTGAGCCAAGCAAAGAGTCACGGATGGTCACGTCAAGTTCATACGGCGTGAGAGGCCGATCCATTTCCCAGTCACCAGGGGGCGAGGGAGTGCGGCGGGCAGCAGCAGCAGTATAGGGTAACGTGGCACGTAAAACCCGCACAAAATGACGGACAAGCAGATTTGCCTGTTGCCGAGGCAGGACGCATATGCGGCCAAGACCAGTGCGGAGCACAACCGATTCCAGAGGATGAGGATGCGGCGCCGCCATGCCGTGAAGATATCGCCAACTTGGGCTGGATGAGGCTCCAAGTATTTTCGCGCGGGCTTCCAGAAGCACAGCGAAGTCCCGGCGTAAGGCTTGATTTCGTTCCTCCCTTTTTTCGGGTACATTCGGCTCAAAGTAGGCTGTCTCCGGGTGAGGCAATGTGTGTGCTTCGTGTGCTGCTTCTGCGGCGGACTCGGCTTGTTCCATTTCGTGTGTCCAGATTGTTTTTGGAGCTGTCACGGCTGCCGCGCGGGATATGGCGCTCAGCTGCTCGTAAGATGCCTCCGCGAAGATCCAACCATGTGGGCGCGGTGGCAAGGAGGGTTTCACACAACGATGTAAAAGCAGGCCAACCCGCTTTGCGCAGGGCAAAGGTGGCTTTCTTCCGCCGAGGCAGCGTGTTGGTTAGTCGTGGAGTGCCATCGTCCATCTCTACCGAGTAAGATATTAAGCAGTGGTCCGAGCTTATGTAAGGGGCGAATGTCCAGTGGGAGATGCGTAGGGCGCGATACGCAGTCACTTCAGATGACGAGACATTAAGATTTGTGATCCGTGTTGCCTGCACCGGGTCATTTGCCAGCTCAAAATTGAAATCTATTAAAATAGCGGCGAAGTTCTCTCCTCCAGTCGTTGTTGGTATATATGATGGTCCCAGAGTTCACGATGTAAATTCGGGTCACACGCGATAATCTCTTCGGGTCCAAGCAACGGACGATATTAGTAAATGCGGATTATTGACCAATTGTTGTGGGAGGGTTGTAGAGGTTCGCCACGCAAATGCTGCGACAGCCCTGATGAAATACACGGGCAGCAATGGTCTCCAGGAGGTCAGTGCCAGGGAGCGACAGGCACTCGCACGGTAGAGAGTGGCGCACCAGAACGGCAACGCCACCGCGCCCGGTGCGGGCCTGAAAGTAGTCATTATGGCCAGAAACTTTCGTCGCTAAGCCACCACGGTTACTTATTTCCTGGAGAAGAACGATGACAGGTGGATGCTGCTCCAGTCGCACAATGCAATCTTTATTACGGACGAGAGGCTTGCAATGTTAAGCCGCCAAATAGTGATGAAGCCATCCTCCTCGGTGCCAGGGTTCTTGTGGACGTCACCGCCACGGGGGATGTCAACGGAATGACCGCAGCGAAACGATCGTGCGTTTTTTCAGACAGTCTGCAGGCAGACCGCCTCACCTCCCCAAACCGGGCATTGGCGCGAAACCTTCTCGAGGGGTGAAGTCACCTTGGTCTCCGTCGTGCTCGCAGTAACGCCCTGCTGCGGAGTTCCTATATGCAACCAGAGCCCCAGCACCGCGACAAGGTGCGGGCCCCATTGCTGGAGTACACTGCAATACATATATCGTGTAATTGTCGTTAAGTTCTTACCCACAGTCACAAAAAAAAAAAGCAAGGCATTTAGGGGCAAATACAACCACACAGGAGTGCCAGAAAACAAACAAACGGGATGACTGGTGAAACGCAACACTGCACGGCTGCCCACGCCGTGGCAAGCCGCGGGACATATGCTGGAAAGTAAAATAAAACAAAGTTAAATCCGTCTTCCATTATGCATTCACCCAAAAACAAAAAAAACTGCACGCTACTGCGTTTTTTTCGCCTGCAGATAAAAAAATAAATAAATAAATAAGATACACTTGTTACAGTCGTTTAAACCCCCGGTGCCCACAAATTATTTATATTCCACTGGGACACTCGGCGTTGGTTCGTGCCCCCATTCCATTTTCTCTTTTATTAGCCGGCGCCGTCGGCGTGACACACAAAGCCGAGCGCGCCTCTGATCAAACAAACAAACAAAAAACAAGAACACTGAGTAGATCCCGCCGTTGTCGGAGGACCACAACACGGGGGGAGATTAAAAAAACAAACA